AGAGTTTAGAGGTAGTAATCTTGCAATCAACTTCTTCTCTAACAGTTTTCCTATTATTTTGTCTTCTCAGAGAGCAGCCTGTACTTAAGATTTATTCCCTGCAAGCAAAACTCTTTTTTCAAGTTCAATCTTGCTTAATGAGTTACTTTTTATTACGTGAAGCTTTTTAATGCATTGTTTATCCTATCAAGGCCAAGTAACTGCCGACATTCTAATCATGAGGCTCCTTGGGGAAAAAAGAAGGGTTCTCTTTGTTTTGGTTTGAGTCAATTTAAAAGCAGTCTCTATACTTGCCTGCAAAGCAACTATATAACATTTAAACCATTTAAATATAAAACTAGCCTGTCCACATTTCAAATATTGCAGAATATAAATTATATAAAAGTTTCTTCTTCGTATTTTGATCGTTCCCTCTCAATTATGAATTCAGTGCATTCCTTTCTAGCCCTAAATGAGAATGCTAGCATGAGCAGCACCAGCTATCTGCGCCAGTTCTTTCCAAATCCCAAAAAATAAATTTTTACCCATCCAAAAACAGATGCCAATCTCCCTCTCCCCAGTGAGAAAGATTCTACAGGCATATATAAAAATCAAATTATATAGGGAAATAGCTTCTAAAACCAGCTACAATTTAGCATACTACATTTCTGAATATATTTCATCAATGGCTTTGCCTTCCACTTTCTCTTCTTCCTCCTACAGGGAAAGGGAATGACTGAATGAAAAGCAAACAAAATGCACAGGAAGCTTTGCTCAACTGATTGAGTTATTCCAAGAAAATGCAACTTTATATCCCAGTCATACACATGCATGCTTCTGAATATTCAGAACAACTGCATTCAATAGTCAGCCAGGAGTTTGGCTAACGCAATGCAAATACTTAAAGTAAGCAAATACTTAAAATGTAATTTTTGGCCTTCACTTTATTCTTGACCATCGTTCACTGACTTCATTATTTCTCAGAGATTTTAGTCCCACCAAACTTGACAGATGATGCTACAAAGGAAGCTCAGCAACTGCTTTGTTTCCTTATAAAAGCAATGGCTTTCTTCTACGGCCTTTGCAACACAGACTTGATTATATAAAGCAGCAAAGAAGTATTTTAGTATTTTCTTTCACACTGAAGGAACAGTTGCTAATTCAGTATCAACACTTGAAGTGGACAGCAGCTTCTGGCTGCAACACCTCTTTCCCGTTTCACTTAAGTGCCTACAGCTTGTTGCTTAGTTTCAGTTACAACAACTTATTTACCATATTCCTACAACCAGCTGGGATCTGCAATACTACATTTTGAATGAACTTTAAGAGACTTACCATCCATTCACAACATTCCAAGTTTTCCTTTTCCCCCGGATAGCTAGTTGCTTTATTTACTCAGTATTATTGTATGTCTCAACTTGAGCAGCACCGTTCTTGTGAATTTGGATTCTACCACCTTTCCTCAAAGGTGAAGTTCCAGCATTTCATAGGGCTGCAGAAGGTTTGGATATGGTTAAGCCAAAGGACTATGCCAAATGTAATAAGCCCTAAGAAGTATTAGAGAGAATGAAACACTGAAAACCATGAATTCCCCACACTATGTGGCTTTATATTCCAGTCATACAAATGCATGCTTGGGCAGCCTGGCCTGGTGGTGGGCGATCCTGCCCACAGCAGGCGGATTGAAACTAGGTGATCTTTGAGGTCCTTTTCAACACAGGCCTTTCTAGGATTCAATATGTACAACAAGGGCATCTTGACCTCTAGATGTGTGTGTCAGAAAGATTCTGCCTGAAAAGAAAACTCATTAAGAGCATTAGAGTCCACCAGCCTAGCATCAGTGACCTCACACAAACATTAGCAACTGCTCTACGGCTGAGACTGGGTTGGGACTTCGGTTATCTCACTTTTCTGCACAAGAAAAGCTATGAAGCTCTTACTCGAAACACTTTTCTCCTACTCCAAAATATTTCTGAATGTGTTTCTCTTTGAGGCTAATGTGAAAGTATTGACAATTTTCTAAGATGGCTATAGCATAAAAATTTCCTAGTGGATACTCTTGGTAAACGTGGCTCACACACTAGATCCTTCTTTTTCTCTTTGCTAAAGGAAAACTCATGAAGCTACCAACAAGAACCACTGGCAGCTTAGAACAAAGGGAAATAACAAAGGTTCTTATAAGAAAGACCTCTTGTCATGCCAGGTTAAAACTGGCATGACAAAGAAAAAAAAAAAATGCACGAGTGTAGTCTTGCAAGTCCTGCCAGAAAAAGCTTTGTTCTTAATCTCTACTGATTAAGGTTTATGAAAATCATAACACAATAAACATATTTTCAAAGACTATCTTTTGAATGGTCTCACTTCTGTCCTATCTGAAATATGACACAAAATTAGCATTACAACATCAAGCAGCTGCAGAAGATGCAAGCTACCTGGCCAGTGCCATCCCAGCTGATGTGAGATGGGAGCTGGTGTGTTAACTGGCACACTGTTGCTAATCAGCTAAGGCTCAGCCACTGGTACTGACTTTACACTTGCTGCTACTTATCTTAAGCTACAGAACTCACAGATGGTGATATTTTCTTTGAATCTCTACACTAAGAACCAATCATATAAAAAACAAAGACTATAAACTACTTGAGGAAGTGTTTTTCAATCATGCAGAATATTTTCTACCACTACTGTTTAGATCAGATCCCTTATGTTGTGCCAAGAAAGAAGCTTAACTGTCACACTCAACATAAATGCTGTTGTTTTGGTTCTTTTCTCAAATATGGAAATGCTGCCAAGAACTTCCAGTTTTGCACTCCATGGGTATCAGAAGTGAGTCGCAATATGGCTGGAGATGACAGCCACCAAGCCAGTGATGCTCAGTGATGCATTCTGCAGGCAACAGGCAAGCGAGGGCAGTGCTACCCCAAGTGACTCTGTATGGCAGACTGCTCCTTGGTCACTTCCAAGGCAGGAAAGCTTACCTATGCAAAAGGCAGTTTTCTGAAAACAGAACTTTTCCAAAACTCAAGACTTGGAACTGCTGACTTGACACCATCCCAGATGCAAGCCATATTAGATTAACATGCCAAAATATGAATTTAGCATAATGTATATTAATCCTCCCTGCTCCACAGAGCCATTTATGATAAACAGTGGTCTCATTGGAAAATCTTCACTCACCAGAGCCTAACTAGTTACTAGCTTGAAATAATCCTAATTCAACTCCATGTCTGCAAAGTTTATTGCACCCCAGTTGGAAATGGCCACATATCACTTTTCTGAAGGAATGTTCTACGCATGAGGCCAAGCTCTAAAATGACTGCAGGTAAAAAAAATTGTACATAGCTGGATCTGTCAAGTTATTCATGGTTGCACGCTATGCACAGGATCTGTTTTTATATTTATTCTATACTAAATCAGTAAGAATGACTTTGCAATGAAATACATATATCTACACAATTCTACATCTTCAAAACTGGATTTAATGATCTAAGATGCGTATCACATAAATCATCTGAGAATTATCGAACAAAGCTTCACTGAAATGCAAAGTAACTGCCTATAAAACCAAGGGAGAAACAAGAAGGAGAGAATTCAAAACTCCAAATGTCAATAAACAACAGGGAGCCAGAAGTTCAGTAACTTTAGTTCCTCTCTTTTCAGAGAGGTGAGGACTTGGAAGGCCCTTCATTCATTCTGCCCAGAAGGTAACAGAGAAACCCCAGGAGCTGGGTGGTAAGGTCCAAGCATTTTGAGTGCTTCACTGAGCAGCTAACAGATTACTTCTGGGAAGAGATGGAAAAAAAGAAAAAGAAAGAAAGGAAAAAAAATATATTGCTACAAGCAACCACTGTGGTTGACCTTAAATGGCTAACTCTGGTTTCAATAAAACTCTACTGCTACCTTTGACCAGGCAACCTGGTAGTACTACTGAGAAATAAATAAGGAAGTAAGTGAGGGTGTTTACTTCAGGGAATACACAGGAAAGTGGCCAAATGAACAACATGCAGAGCTACCACTCTTTCCATTCCCAAAAGGCTATCACTGCAGCCTTACAAAACTAATCTATGCCATTTTATATTCCACAGTTCACAACATCCATTTGCCAGGTGCAGTCTCTGGATATGAACGTGTTAATTATTAACTTATTCCCTCATGTTTCTCTTTAAATGCATTATAGAAAGACGAGTAACAGCAGAGAACTCCTGTTACAACTCAGATTTTTCCCTATGTTGCAGCACAAGAGGCAGAGACTTCAGATTTAGACATAATAAAGGGAGATCAACATTCCTTGATTAAGGTGTGCCAGAAACCTGACACCTCAGCCAAAAAAGTACTGTAATGCATTCCCACTGATTATTATGCAACATTACAGCCTTCTACAGCAGGAAAGGTAATTGCATGGGTAGAATCTAACCCACTCTACAAGACTGTTCAACAGCACCCTTGGAAGGAAGGATTTTTTGTAGGACTGCTGAATCAAAACGAAGGCAGTAAGAAGCCCACACAATTAAGCTTTATCACAAGCATCTATCACTTTTACGCACACAATGCATATGTTTTGTGAATTGCTGTCCTGAAAGCATAATGGCAGTTAAGCACTTTTGTTTACCCACTTTATGCCATTCTGCATGAAAACGCTTAACATGACTCATACTTTCTAGAAATGTGTGATTTCCAATTCTCAGCAACATAGATACCCAATTCCCAGTACAATGACTGAAAAACCAGGGTGCATAATTCACTTTATAAATCTCCAAGGTTACAGCTTGATTCTCCCAGGTAGAAAAGCTCTAAAAACATTTAGTGTTTAAAAATAAAATCTTGCTTAAAATAAATGCAAACCTAACTATAAACTCAGACACAAAGCACTTAAAATGAATTTATGTTATTCATCACCTTCATTCTGACTTCTTATACGTTTTCAGCCTGCAAACAAACCTAAACAACAATGTTGCAAACGCAAGCAGCATCCTACAGCCCGATCCAGCAGCACATGAAAAGATAAAACTTAAAACACGCTATACCTGCATGGCACCTGGTAGAATGGGTATCCTGGGAGAGGCACAGAGTTCGAAAATCCAGACTGACTCGACATTGCCTTCAAGGTATTGTATCCACTTAGATGGCTCCAACGCTCTGCATGTTAATTCCTTACCAAAAACAAACGTGTGCACGTATCCATCTGTACGTTCGCTCCGAGCTAACTAAAGAGAAACCAAGAGCATATTCAAAGGTCTTGAAAATACTGCCTGCATTATCAAAACTGCTTCCTCCGTAGCGAAATTCCTCAAAGCCAACACCCTCGTGACATCACGTACTACAACGCCGTCGACACGCAACTGTTTCAGCAAGGCAAGGGCAGCCCGGCGCTTCCGACTCGACGCGAAGCCCCGCACCGCATTCCCGCTGGCAGCGCGGTGCCGCGCAGGCGGAGGCAGCGACCGGCCGCCTCCAGCAGCAGCAGCCCGGCTCTGGCAGCCGCCCAGGAGGCAGCACAACTTATTGCCAATGCCGCAAATCCCTCCCATCGGCTAACGAGGAGCGGGACTGCGGGTGGAAGGCGATTTCAGCCCGCGACGAGGATTTCCTTGGAAATGCATGAGAGCCGTGACCTTGAGCACAGCGACAGTCAATCCTTTTAAAATTCTCAGTTAAACCCACGATGCACACGATTGTTTTATAAGCACCGTCAGAATGCATTTCTGCACTTTACAGGAGTATTAAAAAGCACATGGAGCTTTCCTCTGCTAATAAAGAATTGCACCATGCTACCTTTTCAAACACGGGAAGGCAGGAGGGGAGGCTCAGAGCCGGGATTTCGAGCAACATTACTTCAGCTACTGAATAGAGAAATGAAGTTATCTGCCTGCACTCCTGCAGGATTTAACTACAGTTTAAATCAAAGAAATATCAAAAGCAACATTTCTTTTGATATCAAGTACAATGACGAGTTACATGAAAGTTCATTCTGTGCATGCCTTCCTCGGGAAGGGGAAAGACATTTACCAAGCAGGAAGGCAGGTGAGCAGCCGGGCAGCATGGCCAATGTCAAACATAACCATGGGGTTATTTACCTGCACTGCTGAGCACAAAGCGGGGGTACGGTGCTCTCATGTGAAGACTCGCTTCCTTTTAGCAGAATAGTAACTAGAACAGATGTAAAATGCATTTCATTATCTGTTCCGCCCCCACTGGAGAACATTAAAATGGGTAATTTAACTCACCCACATGTTATTTATGTTTTGTCTCTTAGCTTTGGAAGACAGTCAAATGGATTTCACTTGGCTTATTGCAAGTTTCTAATCAATATCTCAGCCATGAGGAAATCCGTGCAAAACTTTGTCACTAACTTCAGATAACTTCTAACACTTGACTTAAAATAATGGAAACTTGTTCTTTCATCTTTAATGCACCTTAAAGTAACTCCAACCTCGCTGAGACGCTCTGTTACTGATTTGGAACACTCAGCTGTTCCCATAGTCTGAACAGCACTGTGATGTTTCACCTTACTAGGTGTTGAGGCATAAAAAAGGGCACTTTTATTTTGCAACATGATATCAACGTTTCAAATGGAGATGAAACAGTAGGGGAAAAACAAACAGGAGCAGCAATCAGAAAACACATAATGAGGACTTGGTGCTCAACAAATTGGGAACACTGATTAATTAACGATCACGCAGAGATCTATCAAGTAGATGACTGTTCCCAACACAGGAATCCACCACCAGCTGGTGACTGTGCTCACACAAATAGCACAGGCCGCTGCTTCAGGCACCAATTCCTCAAGTACCATAAAAGTGCCAGAACAACACAAGCACAGCAAGGTTTGCCCACAGAAGAACATTTTCTATAAGCCTAATGGATACACGTGCAGGCTGCTGGACACATCACTTAGCAGTTTTTATACCTCTCCCTGCTGTACAGAAGAAACTACACAAGGCAGGTCAAGCACAAACGATGCCTGCTATCAGCTGAACTTCTACAAATAGGCTTGAAAAATGGTTATCAGAAATATTATGTCTCTATGGAGCAGGAATTCCAAAACCCACTGCTATCATAACCCACACAGGCTGTGGGATAAGGCCACACAAGATGTCCTGCTACATTCAGACACAGCAGCCACCTCATACACGTGTCCCTAAAGCACCTTGGTCTCCATCTTGTATATTCACGCACCTTTTATCTGGTGCCTGCTTAGCAGCAGTCAGCATTAGCACATTCATCCAGTAATTCTCATCTCAGAAGGGTTTTCCTTAGTCCCAGCCAGGATTTCGGGGGCTCCCATTTGATTTGCCAGCTTAGTGTCAAGTCAGCAGATTGCAGGCTTATAAATCAGGGCCTGCTTCTGACTTGCCACACCATTCTGCAAAAATCACTTAGTAACCTTAACGCCTGGCTTATCCACATAACAAGGAAAATACTGGCTGACAGCAGAGGAATGATGCGAGGTTACATTTTTTTGTAATTAAGTATTGAAATCCTTTGATTAAAGATTTATGAAGGGATAATACGGCTGTAGTATTTGCGGGAAAGGATGTGTGGGAATATTCAGAAGAGAGCCTTCTTTTTGTCTCCTGCTCCTAGCTCTAACAAAACAGAAGCCTTCTTGGTCTGAAATTTCAATTTAGATATAAAAGCCACTTACCTTTTAAGATGTGGTATAAACAATACAGTTTTTAAATGGGTAAAGAGCATTAAGTAGCATTTAAAGATGAGAATATCTAAGCTGACAATATGCAAACAAAATCTGAATTTAAAGTGAACTTAAAGACACAGAATCCTTCACCTGTAAGCATCGTAACTGGAAACAGGAAAGGAACGTGAGGCACAGGATGGAAGAGGGATGGGAAAATCTGGTAAGGACCACAGAGAAAACCCCCACAGAGGGCTACTCGACATTATCAGGTGCCCCTGTCACTTCTTCACATGTGCCACTGGACTATAGCTGGACCTCCATTTGTCAGCCATCATCATGAAGGAGACAAAAAGCTTTCCCTTCCAAATGCGGTTCTGTTTGTCTGCATTTGGTGCCCGTACTTTAGTACCCATAAACAAACTTCTGAAAAACCCAGCACATTCGGGTTGTTTGGCATAGCATGCCACATTGTACTTAAAGGCTGTGCTGGAACAAAACTAAACAAGAAAAGCAAGTATAAGGCATCAGATTTGTAAGTTCCAGAACTTACAATGACCTTACTACTTGAAAGTAACTGAGCTGTTAGCTGTTACACCATTTAACCATGCTAGATGAAAATGGATGCCGTAGAGGAACTGCAGCAATTGCTTGAAAGACGGGAGAGAAGTACTAAATACAATTATTTTTTTAAACAACAAATTAAAAAGGTTCAGTATTTCAGAGAAGTAACATTCTTGGTAAACTAATGGAAAATAAGTTTAATTTTAAAAGGCAGATTGAAGGAGAAACAGAAACTAACCTCATTATTGGAATCTAAATTAACTTCATAAAATCTAGATCATAAGCTCCATCAAACCTAGGCACACTGCAGACAGTTACGTGATGATATATCAAAATGCATATAAAATGTTAGTATTCATTAAAAAATAAAATGAAGTGCTGTGCAGAATTTATTGTAAAATCAATACCATAAACCAGTAATTTACTCCTATATTTTATATTTGATATTTTCCCTGTCTGAAAAGAGATATTCCAGACACTAAAATAGGGAGAAAAAAAGGATACAGAAAATGGAAGGAAAAAAACTACATGGAGTTTGAAAATAAGTGACCCACACAAAGAAAATATTAGACAAAATACATCCAACATAACGAAAGGTACCTAGAAGACATAATGGTATTTTGATTGGTTGTTTTTTTTTAAAAATCTCACATAGGAAACATATTAATAGGGACATATACAATAGCACTGTAGAAGAACGGCAAATCTGTAACTGATGGAGAACACTATCACCAAAACCCCAAAATTCAAGAGTCAAAGACTAATTGGGTGTTCACACAGAAAATGAAAGTATCCAGAGGTGGTAAATGGTAAAAACATAGGAAGCAAAGAGGATTTGAAAAGAACTTGAGAGAAAATGTCCATCTGAGAAATCGGTGTCTAATGCAGTTGCTGAAGGATGGCTTTCTCTCTTTTCTGCAGCAGAACACTAGGTTCACTAATAATATCTCTGGTCTTGTAACTCATCACTGGAATGACTGAACGTTCTTTCACTTTAGTTTCCGAAGAAAACTGTAACGATGTAATGATTACTGTCGCTAGAGAAGGTGCAGAAAAGGCAGGCTTCTTGTTATTTTCAAGTAGGTTACATCAGGAAAAATAGAGAAAAGCATGCAACCTCTAAAAGAAAAAAGGCAGCACTTGAGGAGATGCTTGCATTCAGGCCTCAATTAAACTGAGGTTTTCAAAGCAAAATACACATCCACCTACCTCCTTTCAGGTACCCCTTTAGCCATCCACCTAATACCTTGTTCCCTGCCCACTTTCAGTAGCTTCCCACTCCTCCAGCCCCTCTTTCCCTCCTCTCTTTTACCTCCAGGAACTATTTCCAACGCAGTGCCCTTCTGTTAAAAGCAGCTTCACATCACGTGGGAGGCACTACCCACAAAGGCCTACTGACAAGCTTGTTAAGCTCAGCATCCCATTTGGCCTACATAAACATGGCTGTCTGTTACCCATCCTCAGCCTCCATTGGCTTTACATCATCACAGTAAGATCCTCAAATAGAAGTGAATATAGGAACGTTTAAGAGTAATCAACGGCTGACTGCACAACTAAGAGTGCATATTTTACAAAGAAATGGGAGTTTCTCCACAGTTTCTCCATATGATCCCTTTCCTATACTGCCGTGTCCTGCACAACCTCCACAGCTCTGACAGGTTCCAGTTCCACATCAAGGGAAAAATAAAAAAATAAAAAAATACATCTCCTGACAAGGATTCTATTTATGTAATTCTTATACCCCCTGCCTGCTCTGCCTGGCTCTACCTCATGACTAGTACTTGAAAGCACTCCTTTCTGGCTTTGAGCCCCAAGTGAGGTGCCACAGCAACTACCTTGCCTCTTCCACTCTCCTCAGATGGTGTCACTCCCCACTTTCAAGTAGCTTAACGCTCCATTCCATCTACTCTCCCTTAGATACTCAAGAACCCAGACCTTTCCTCTGGCTTCCCACGTTGAGACTGCCATCATTCTGCTATCGTCACATCCTGCAGGACCTCCAGACTCAAGTTACAGCAGGCTGTGCCACAGTGGCTCACCAAGCATGACAGAAAACACATGGCAGGTGGAGGGCCATGTGTTCTCACAATTACCCATGACAGCAAGTACAGGAAGTGCATGAGCTAGAGCTGAGGGCTGCAATATTCATCTAGATTTCAGATAACCGACGTATGATCTTCCACTGTTCAGCAAGCATTCAGGAGGAAGCCAAACAACTCTTCACTGTGACCAAAGGTCCCCAATGACCCACTGACCCATAAGC